CGCGTCAGCTATGCCTTGTTGCCCACTCCTCCCAAATAAGGAATATCTTTCCTTATGATTCTGGTTTATTCTTGGGATATTTGATTTATTGTTTTATTTATCAAATTTAAATTTCATCTTTAGGCAAGATTTAGACATTTTAGAAATTTATCATTTTTAATTTTCTTTTTAATTTTGTTATTTTCCTTAAAAGGCCAAGGGCCTTGGCCTATAAATAGGCTTGTACCCCTCCATTGTTACACACACTTGGATTATTGAAGTTGAATAGAATTGAGAGTGTTCTCACCCATTGCCTCGTGCAAACCCCTTCTCAAATTTCGAATCCCTTTGTGTGGTTGAACTTAGGCCTTCGTATTTGAACCCCTCGGAGTATACTTGTTTGATTGGTCATCAAACTCGTGGAGTATTTCCGACCTCGAGCATAGTGAGTCATCTGTCTGCTCAAGGTAACAACTCCAAAGGTAATCCCTTTAACCTTGGCCTTTCGGGTTGAACAATCTATACGATTGGATTCAAGTGGCTTGTGGCTCATGTAACTCAATATGCTTGGGTTGTCGCGTACCATTTGGTATCAAAGCTTAGCCTCTAGACCGGGATATATATTTATTTTCTATCTTTAAATTTCGGTATTGTCTTTACAATCTTTATCCAAAAATCTCATAAAAATTCATCCATTGTTCTTGTCTTCCGCGAGCCAACTTTATCTATCATTCTTGCAAAGAATTTTTTATTTCGAAAATTTGCTTTAAAGTGTCCAAAACTTGTTTGTTTGTGTTCTGCACCTTAAAAGCTTTCCAACAAACCAAGTTTCACTTTAATCCGAACTCTATAGCCAAAGTTATCAATTTTTCTTCGAATCCAGATTTTGAGAGAAGCCTGCAGAGAGCACAAAACCAGAGCCAACTTTAAAAATCCATAAATTTTTGCTCAGAAGTTCAAATTAAGTGAAACTGGTGCCATTCGAAAGATCTCTGTGTTAGCTTTCCATAGAGCCCAAAATTGATAATTTGCAATCAGTGGTTTGGGAGTTATGGCGTTTTCAAAAACACTGTGCAATCTGGAAATCCTGCAACCGCCGAAGAAGTAGAGTCCCCAACTCCAACGATTCATATCTTACTGAGCTTTTGCTGAATATAGTCAAATCAGGTACCAATTAAAGGTCTTTGAAAGCCTTCCAGGGACATATAGATCGTTGTCATTCGAGGTCTATAGCAGAAGTTATCGGTGAAAGAAGAGAAGGTGTCCAAGTAGAAGACTTTCCAAAATTGAAGCTGGACGTTTTTGGAGAAAATCTTTGGGCCACCAAATTGTGTCCAAATCAATTTCTTTTTGGCAAATAATTCTAACATTGATTATATTTTGATTTAAAATTATTGTTGGATTATTTTATCCTATTTGGACAGCCCAAAAGAAGGAGGACAGCCGCATAACCCACCGGGCCACCCGAGAGAGACCATTTATGCAGCCACAGATTTTTCTTTGAGAGAGCAGTCCCCTCCAACGAATTCTAAACCTTTTGGCAGCCTGCACACTTCATGTACACTGGTTGTGCTAACTTTGCCACTGGTTGGAGCCGTATCCGAGTTGTATACATCACACACCCGTCACCCAAAGTTACCTTATTTACCATAAAGTCCACTGTTTTGTTGGTAAGTCTATTTTTGTGTGTGTTTGCTCTACAAATTAGATTTTGTACATCTTTTTAGTTCATTTTTTATTTCATTGATTTTATTTGCATCATTCTTTCTTTGTTTAGTTTTAACTTCAATTTGTACATTGTTGTTAAGTCCCAAAAATCAAGAGCCTTAGGCTTAAGGTTGTCTTTATCATTCTTGTTCATATCTTGCTTTATTCTTCATAAATATCATTTGGTATCATTGTAACTATCATTTGCAAGTTGCTTGTAGGCTTATACTTACTTGTTCTAAGACTGATTCGCCACAAGCATTCAAGTGAGCACCTCTAAAGGGTATCCACACCAATATCCACCCTACCAAAGGAGAGGAAGCCGAGAGGACAAGTAAGGGAGTGAGAGTGAATTGTTATTGTTTATACTAACCTTTACTTGTGTAATGATGGCATCAAGAGGAAAGTCCCATGACTCACAAGACGAAAGAGACAAGGCAAATGTGAGCGATGAAATGCTTAAGGAAGCTCAAATCCAAACCTTTTCAAGGTTCACACAAAGGCTTGAAGACCTAACCGAATCCTTGCAAAAGATGAACACTCGTGTTCACAGATTGGAAAGGCCACAAAGAATGCCACACCGAAGGAGACCAATGAGCCCGAGAGAGATATCGGACGGATCTCAAGAAGATGAGGTACGTACTTTAAATGAATATTTTGCTAATGAAGACCCTTTTGATATAGGTCCAAGAAGAGCATACATTGGCAAAGGAAGAGGAAGATTCCAACAACACCGAGAGAGGCTAAGAAGAGAAAACTACCTTGGGAGCATGAAGTTGAAAATCCCAACCTTCCATAGAAAGTCTACACCCGAAGAATTTGAATCATGGGAAAAGGAGATTGAGTTAGTGTTTGCATGCCACAATTATGATGATGGCAAGAAGGTAATTCTCGCAATCACTCATTTTAAAGATTATGCACTAACTTGGTGGGATAAAGTGATGGCTCATAGGAGGAGGAACCATGAAGGACCCGTAGCTTCTTGGATAGAGTTCAAGAAACTCATGAAGAGAAAATTTGTGTTGTCATACTACCATGCAAATTCAAGGAAACTTAATAAGCTCTATCAAGGCACCAAGGGAGCTGAAGACTACTACAAGGAGATGGACATGTTGATGAGCCGATTTCAACTAGAAGAAGATGAGGAGACCACTATGGCTCGTTTCCTAGATGGCCTTAATCCGGACATAGTCGACAAGCTTGATTTGCAACATTATAAAGACATGGAGGAACTTCTACACCTCACCGTCAAAATAGAGGAGCAAAACCAAAGGAGAGCTAAAAGGTATGTCAAATCTACTCCTAAGACCACTTGTAGCAAAACGAAGAACAAATCCCTAGAGTCAAAGCCAAAAGTTAACTATGAAAGGGGAGAGTCATCCAAGTCTAAAGCCCAACCCGAATTTTCCAAGACTAGGACTAGTGACATTAAATGTTTCAAGTGTCATGGAGTAGGCCACATAAGCTGAAATTGCCCTAACCAAAGAGCCATGATACTTAAAGAGGGAGAACTAGTCACGGATGATAAGGAAGAAGAAAAACTAGAGGTTGAGGAGAGGAAAGATGAGAGTAGTCAAAAGGAGGAAGTAGAAGAGGATTCCAAACACATAACCTTAGTGGCTAGGAGGAACCTCAATATGCAATTTAGGGAAGAACCTTTAGAGTCACAAAGAAAGAACCTATTCCATACTAGGTTCATAGTAAACTCCACCCCATGTAGTGTTATCATTGATAGTGGGAGTTGCACTAATGTTTCTAGTAAGGATATAGTGGAGAGGTTGAATTTAGCCACTACACCCCACCCACGGTCTTATAGCCTACAATGGTTGAATAATAGTGGGGATGTGAAGGTCCAAAAGCAAGTTCAAGCTCCATTCAACATAGGTAGGTACAAGGACGAGGTCACTTGTGATGTTGTACCTATGCATGCTAGTGATTTCTTGCTAGGGAGACCGTGGCAATTTGATAAAAGAGTGAGTTTCGATGGTTTTCTTAATAAATATTCATTTGAACATCAAGGTAAGAAAATCACACTTGTACCTCTTTCTCCAAAGGAAGTACACATTGATGATTTAAAATTGGAGGAAAGAAGGTTGGAGGCCGAGAAAAAGGAAGTTATTGAACTTCAAAATAAAAAGAAAGAGAAGGCTCCAAGAAAGAAAGAGAAAGTCGTGACCCTCATGGCTAGAAAAGATGAGATAGAGCGAACTCTATGTGCTACACAATTGCTTCTTCTATATTTTAATGAAGGTAATGATCTCCTAACTCAAGAAAGAAGAAATACTTTGCCTAGTACTTGTGTTGTGTTTTTATAGGAAATTGAGGAGACAATGTCCGAAGTCGTGCCGAATGTGGAGGGACAGAAGAAGAAGAAAGAGAAGGAAGCAACTTCGAGCCACCCACTCAAGGATCCCAAATACCTCCAGAGGCCAAGCCACATGAGGAGAGCACAAATGACAATCAAATGAAGATCTTTGAGAATAAGGAAGAAAATGAAGTTTTTCAACTTCACCAAGGTAATAGTCCTACTATAGATGCATATCATTGGACTAACTTGCTTCGTTTGGATGTAGGTAAACAACTTGATTCGAGGACGAATCAAATTCAAGGAGGAGGAGATGATGTGATCATATTTGACCCAACACTCCAAAATGACACCTACACCAACAAGGAAGAAGAACTTGAGGAAAGACCCCCAAACGAAGGAGACTTCATTGGACACATCAACAAATTTTGACTATTTTGAAGGCCAATGAAGAACTCACTAGGGTCAGGAGGAAGCATGGAGAAGAAGAGAGGTCAAGCAAGTGGCCCCATTTCAAGGACAAGCCTATCGAGAGGCCACTCGCACGCCCCTGCGCGCTCGCACCCTGCCGCGCAAGCCAACGTGCCGCTAACCTCACAGCGCTCATGCCATGCGTGCGCTGTCGCCCGC